GAGCCTTCGCAAGCGCCCCAGGCGCCGCCACGCCCCACCCCGCCCCTAGCCCCGCCCCCGGCCCCGTCCAGGCCCCGCCCGGCCCGAGTCGCGCGCCACGCCCAGGCCGCACCCCCAACTGTTCGCCCGCCCAGGTCCCACGAGAACGGCTTCATGGAAGACCTGGACAAGACGTGGGTGCGGTACCAGGAGTGTGACTCGCGCAGCAACGCCCCTGCGACTCTCACCTTCGAGAACATGGCAGGCGAGTCTTCCCCCTTCCCTTTACCGCCCCCCGATGACACTGGGTGGGCGCGGCAGGGGGCCTGGAGCCCGGCTAGCCAGCCGCTGAGGCGCTGGGTCCTGGCCCACAGGGGTCTTCATGCTGGTGGCTGGGGGCATCGTGGCTGGAATCTTCCTGATCTTCATCGAAATTGCCTACAAGCGGCACAAGGACGCGCGCCGGAAGCAGATGCAGCTGGCCTTTGCGGCGGTGAACGTGTGGCGAAAGAACCTGCAGGTAGGGACAGCCACCCTCCGAGGCCTGGTGCCCATGGCCCGACCCGGCCCCGGTCCTCCTCCATCCCCGCAGGCCGAAGTGCTGGCCCTGGCTCCCGGAGCCCGTGTGAGCAGGACTGGAGCTAGGAGCCACGGCCGCGGGCGGCGTCAGTGGGGAACCTCCGGCAGGTGGCTGCCCTCTGCCCAGCCGGGCGGACGGAGGCCACGCGCCCTGCCCCCGGCCTCCGCCTGGCCCTCTGTCTCCAGAGTCGCCCTCCGGCGCCCAGCCCATAGGAAGGCAAACTGAGGCAGGGTAAGACAGGGACCCACCCGGGTGTAGCACGTGAGTCTAAGGCGCATTCTGCCCTCGCCGCCCCACGCTCCCCCTCAGCGCCCTCCGGGGCCCCTCCCCACTGCCCCCTGTGTCCTGTGCTCCGTCACTCCAGCCCGAAGCCGTTCCGCGGGTCCTGCCTGGCGCCCCAGCCGTGTCTGGGGGAGCTTGCCGCCGGCAGGGGGCAGCCCGCCTGGGGTGGGGCAGGCAGCGAGGTCTGTGCAGGCCCGTGGCTCCTGCCCCACGGTCCCCGTCCAGTTTGCCGCGTCTCTTCTCTTTCTCTGGGTGCCTCCCCAGAGCCTGTGCCTGGGGCGAAGCGGGCCGTGCAGAGAGGAAGGGCCGGGGGGGACGGGTTGCTGGAGTCCCCCCGCCTTTCATCTGCCCACTCTTGCCCCCGCGACCTGGCTGCTGCCCTCGCTGGCCGGCGCGGGGCCGTCCCGGCTATCAGACCCGCCCGAGGCCGGGGTCCCGGGAGCTGCCTCTGTCTGTTGCTCCCGTTCCTCTCGACGCCCACCTCTGGCCCCTCGGCCCCTCCTGAATCTCGGTGTGCCCCCCTCAGGAGTCAGACTGGCTGGCAGGCCTGAGGGGAGACTCCGCCAGCGCTCGGGGGGACCCTCCTCCTTGGGACGCCTGTAAACCAGGGCCACCCAAGAGCCAGGGAGCCCAGCGGACCTCCCAGGAAGAGCGCCCGACGGGACCCCCGAGCCCAGCCCCAGCACGAGCGAGGCCAGACCTGACCCGGGCAGGAGCAGAGGCCGCCCGCGCACGTCCGTCGGCCCAGCACAGGGAGGCAGGCAGGAGCGAGGGCCCGCGCGGCCCGCCAGGCGGGGCGGCGGCCCCCGAGGAGCAGGCGAGGGCAGGCGCGGCCGTCCCCCTTAGCTGTCTAATCACTTATACATATTCATTTTAGGATAGAAAGAGTGGTAGAGCAGAGCCCGACCCTAAAAAGAAAGCCACATTTAGGGCTATCACCTCCACCCTGGCTTCCAGCTTCAAGAGACGTAGGTCCTCCAAAGACACGGTAAGGGGAAGAACGCCTAGCCCCCCGTCTCCGACTCCGACCTCGCCCCTCCGTGTCTGTGTCCCGTGCATCAGGCGTGCCCTGTCATCCCACCCCACCGCACCCTCCCGCGGCCGCTGCCCTCATCTCTACTCGCCCCGCACACTAGGTCTTCTCCCGGACTCCCGGCCGGCCTCCCGCGGGCGGGCCCTCGCCGGGCCCTCTCCCCCTGTGTCTCTGCGTTAGTCTGCCCCCCCCATGCCATGACGCCATGCGCCATCTTGAAGCTGTGTCATGTCGTTGGTCAGCCAGTCGGCCTCACCGCTCGGGGCCTTGCCGGGGGCCCCCGGGGCCCGAGCCGCCCCGGCCTGGGCTCCTCACAGGCCGGGAGGCCACGCCACCTCGCTGTGGCGTCAGTTTCTCAGCCTCTCCGGGCCGGGCCCGCTGCCCTCTCTCCCTCCCCGCGGAGTCCACGGAGAGGGGTGGCTGTGATGTCCCATCCGTCCATCTGTCTGGCTGCCGGCCCCGCCACCCAGACGCCTGTCTCACGTGTCTCACCAGAGCCATGCCTGTTGCATCCCTTCCATGTGGTCTCTGTGTGGGCCGGGGCTGGGGGCCGGGCCTGGCTCCATCTGGGTGGACGGTTGGGGCCTGGAGTTGGAACAGGCCCCCAGCCACAGGGGACTGTCAGGCGGGGAGTGGACGGGACCAGAGGGGGCAGCTCCCAGCCCAGGCTGAGCAGGGGCCCTGCGGGGGGTGTGCCGGCAGCCCCCGTGGTGCTGAGAATGGGGGGGGACGGCCTCGGCCTGCAGAAGGCGGGGCGGGGAGGCTCCCAGACCGAGGCCCAGGACGGGGGCGCCTCCTCAGAGGAGACCAGCCCCCCAGCCCGCCCCACAGGGCCACGGCGGGGCCAGGCCTTCGGTCTGAGCCCACAGTTCCCTGCCCCCCGGCCCTGGGCAGCTTGCCGCTGCACTGGCTGTGCGACTTGGACCACAAGCCTCCCCAGCGGGCCCGGCCTTGCCAAGGGCGCCCCAGTCCCAGGTGGGGAGGGGGCCAGCGGACTCCCTGCAGTCCTGGGGCCGATTTGGCCCGGGCCCCACAGGAGCCACGCTCCAAAGCGGAAGTGGGATTGCAGCCCCCCGCCCGCCCAGTGCGTGGGAGGAGGGCGAGACCCCCGGGAGAGGACTGGAGGCGTAGCTGGCTCCTCTTCACAGGAGGCTCTGGGCACGGGGACGGAGGGTGCACAGCGAGGGCCTGCGGGGCCGGAGCACAGGCCGGGCCGCCCAAGCCCAGGAGAGGGCGGGGCCTGAGCCGGGGGCAGCGCCCGGCGCGCAGGGAGAGGAGGGCAGGTGCCCAGGAGCCACCAGGGAGTGGTGGGGTGGGGCAGTGCGGGTGCAGGTCTCCCCAGCAGGCAGCGCTTTTGGGCAGGCATCTGAGAGGACGGACACAAGAGCCACGCGGGCGAGGGGTGGCTCTGGGCCCGCCCCGCCCCCCCAGGGCAGACAGGCAGGCCCCTCCACGGGTTCAGGCGCAGTTCAGAGACGCTCACAGTGCCCTTCTGGGGATGCGCTCCCATTGGAGGCCTCGCCCGAGCCTCTCGGGCACCAGGGACCGTCCCCAGGTCAGCCCTGGCCCCCTGTGGCATTTGGGACTGGCCCTTCCCTGCAGGGGTGACTGGGGTCCCTGCCAGCTGGGGGGGCTGGGCGGGGGAGGGCAGCCCAGCTCCCCCCTCCCCCTGTTCCAGGCTGGGCACCTGCTCGGAGGGAGGCCTGGGTGGGGGGGCTCTGTTGGGATGGGAGGGGTCGGTCCGGCTGCTGAGATCCTCTGCCCCTGTCCTGTGGCCGGTCCGGGCCAGGGTGGCACTGGGCGCTCAGGGCTGGGGTCCCTGGCGGCCAGCGGGGCCAGCGGGTATTGATTGTTGGTTCTTATTTATAGAGCACCGGGGGTGGACGCGGCGCTTTGCAAAACCAAAAAGACACAGTGCTGCCGCGACGCGCTATTGAGAGGGAGGAGGGCCAGCTGCAGATGTGTGCCCGTCATAGGGAGAGCTGAGACGCCCTGCCCGCCCTCCTCTGCCCCCCTCCCCCGCAGACAGACAGACAGATGGACGGGACAGCGGCCTGGCCCACGCAGAGTCCCGGAGCACGACGGGGTCAGGGGAGGAGCGCCCCCCAGCCTCCCCCAGGCCGTGCCCGCCCGCCCGCCGGTCGGCCGGCTGGCCGGTCCACCCGTCCCGGCCCCGCGTGCGCCCCCGAGCGTCGGGCTAACGGGCCGCCTTGTCTGTGTATTTCTATTTTGCAGCAGTACCATCCCACTGATATCCCGGGCCCGCTCAACCTCTCAGATCCCTCGGTCAGCACCGTGGTGTGAGGCCCCCGGAGGCGCCCACCTGCCCAGTTAGCCCGGCCAAGGGCACTGATGGGTCCTGCTGCTCGGGAAGGCCTGAGGGAAGCCCGCCGGCCCGAGACTGCCCGCCCCGGGCCTCCCGTCCACTCGTCTGCCCTGCTGCCTGGTGGGCAGCCCCTGCTGGACCGAGGCGCGGACCAGAGCGGCTGAGGACGGGCCGGAGCTGAGCTGGCTGGGCAGGGCCGCAGGGCGCTCCGGCAGAGGCAGGGCCCTGGGGTCTCTGAGCAGTGGGGAGAAGGGCTTGGAGCAGAGACTGAAGCCCCGTCCTTCCCCAGCCACCACCAGAGCCACAGCGGGGGCCTGTGGCCCCAGGGGACTGAGGCACCCCTGCTCTAGAACCCACTCCTAGCAGCCTCGGCTCCGCCCCCTCTCCTCTTCTTCCCCGCCCCCTCTCCTCTCGATCCCTCTCGCGGAACCAACCCTGCCCTTCCCCGACTGCAGACCCTGAACCCGCAGCTGGCAGCCGCTCCGCAGGGGCTCCGTGGGCTCCCGGCTGCCTCCCTGCTTTTCCTCCAGACTCCGACCGAGCCTCCTCTTGGCCTCCTCCGGCATGCAGCCCAGGATGGGCTTCCCCGACCGCCGGCTCCGGACTCTCCTCAGCCCGCCCGCCACCTTGTACAGGCCTAGCCCGTCCTGTGCCCGAGCGCGTGCCTTTCCCCCCGGCGTGTGCGCGGCTGCGCGCGGACCCTCGGCTCCAGAAGCCGGAAGCGCGCCGCACCGCTCCCTGACCCAGTGTGTGCAGTGGTGATGCCTAAAAGAATGTCACGAAAACTTCGGTCTGTCGCTTGTTGATGCCTGCAGGGAGTGTGAAGAGGGGGTAGGGACTAGGGGGAATATTCGAGGGCGGCCCACTCAGACTTGGGCGGTGGCGGCGGGGCTCCCGGGGTCCGCCGGCGACGCTCCGCCGCGGCCGGGTTTCGGAGGCCTCCTCCGCGGGCGGCAGGCGGCGGCGCGTTGGCGGCGCGCGCGGCAGGCGGTGAGCACGGAGCCCAGCGCCAGGCAGGTGGCCAGACTGGCGAGGAAGGAGACGGGCCCCAGCGCGTAGACCACGACCAGGTCCCGCGGAGCGAGTGGCTGCACGCAGCTGCGGAAGACGGTGTCGGAGAAGGCGGTCAAGGGGCGGAGTGTCTGGAGCCCCGGCGACACGCAGAGCAACGTCTCGGCCTCTGCGGGACAGGGGCGCGGCGTCAAGCAGCGGCGAGGCAGCGGCAGCGGCCACCCAGTCCCGCCTGCGCCCCGAGAGCTCACCTGGCGCGGGCCGCGGGTGCCTGCGCAGCCAGGCGCAGAGCGGGCGCAGGGCGCAGCCGCAGGCCCAGGGATTGCCGCGCAGGCGCAGTGTGTTGAGGGCCGGTAGGCCGGCCAGCAGGCCGGGCGCGAGCGCAGTCAGCTCGTTGTCCTGCAGGCTGAGCGCACGCAGCAGCGGGAGTGCGCCCAGCGTCGCAGGCTCCAGGCGCGCCAACCGATTGTCCGCTAGCGAGAGTTTGCACAGCGCGCGCAGAGACGCGAAGGTGCCAGGTGCCAGCGCCTCCAGCTGGTTGGCGCTAAGGTCGAGTTGCTGCAGCGCGCCCAGACCCCAAAAGGCTCGCGCGTGCACCCAGCGCAGCCCGTTCTCGCGCAGATCCAGGCGCAGCAGCGCGCCAGCACCCACGAAAGCTCCGGGCGGCAGCGCGCGCACACGGTTGCGATCCAGCAGCAGCGCGCGCACGCTCCAGCTCAGGCCAGCCGGCACCGCGGGCAGCGCGCGCCCTGAGCAGTTGGCCTGGCCGTCCGAAGCGCACGCACATGCCTCAGGACAGTCCCGGGCTCCCGGGGTTCCCGCGGGGGCGGTCGCAGCAGACGCTTGAGCCCAGACAGGCCACGGCGGCGGCAGCAGCAGCAGCAGCAGCAGCAGCAGCCACAGCGGCAGCAGCGGCCGCGCGAGAGAGGAGGGGCTTGGCATGGGGGCAGCCGTGGGCCCCGCGGTGGGAGGCCTGCTGCTCGTGTGTCCCTGGAACCCGTCTGTCCCTTCTGCGCGGGCACAAGTATTAACTGTCTAGCCCAAGTGCCGACAGTTCCTGTCCCACGGCTGGTCCCGCCTAGGGCTGGGGCTAGGCACATAGCCAGGGCCCGGCACTGCCAGCCACCTGTCCCGGAGCGCCAGGCTCCTCTTGGCTCCACGCCAGGAGCAGCGCTGACGAGATGCCGCAGCCCCGTGTCGTCCACCACCCGGAGCTTCTCTGAGGCCCGAGCAGCTGGACCACATACACCACCCACAGGATGCGATGCACCGAATGGGGCCCCGTGCACCCTGCTCCTCATCCCTAAGGTTTCTACTCCTCCCGGGCTCAGTAAAGTGACCCTCGTGCGCGTACACAGTGACCCGCGGCGCGCGGAGGCAGGGTCCTGTCCCCGAGGTGCAGGATTGGTGGAGCACCAGCACGTGATGGGGGCGCGAGCCCAGGGGACGGGCTGGGCGGCGGAGGGGCCGGCGCACCTGCGGCAGGGGAGAGAGTCCCGTCCGCCCTTCCCCACCCGCCAAGGACGCTCCCGGAACCTCGAGGAGGCGGCGTGGGCGGGGCGGGGCGGGGGCGCCAGAGAACGTCCTCGTCTCAAATGCTGCTCCCCCTGGAGCGGCCGCTGCGGGTCCTGTCCCAGACTTTCGGGGGGCGGGTGGGCAGGGGCCCGGAGCCCCGCCAGCTTCATGGGACAAAGCAGCAGGAAGGCTCCGGGAGGAGCTGGGCTGAGGCTACTGCAGGAAGAAGTGGAAAACCAGGGTGTGGCTCCAGCCACGGCCGGGAGACAGCGGGCGCCTGGTGTTGCGCTGCACACCCCTCCCCCACACGGAGGAGAAGGCGGGACAGGCGCACGCTGACCCCCCCCCACCCCCAGGCCTAGCCTCGCATGGGTTCCGAGAGGACCTCACAGAACCACTAAATACTGTTTAATTCCCCTCCACCAGCTGCCTGCCCAGCCCTACTCAGGCGGGGGTGAGCAGGGGGGCTCCTCTAGAGTCAGCGGGGGACCCACGGGCATGGTCAGGAGGCTGTGATCCTCCATGGGCTGCATCATGGCCACCTCCAGCTCGGGCTCCACAAGGTGGGACTCCATCTGCACGGACTGGAGGTCCACGTGGTCTTCCTGGACCCCATAGCGCTCCACCAGACTGCAGGACAGGGGCCGGCTCAGTGCTCCCCCGGGGCAGAGGATGCCCCGCCCCGGGGGCAGGGAGCAGGGGGCGCCCGCCCTCCGCCGCCCCTGGTGCCACTCACCTTCTGTCGGTGGTTTCAGGGCATGTTTCACTGCGGGGAGGGGGAAGGCAGGTGTGACTCCCAGGACAGCCGCGCTGGACCCCAGGAGCCCAGACGTGCCCTGTGCACCTGTCCCCAGCCCGCAGTCGGGAGGCCGCGCCAGAGTCAGTGGTGACTCCCCCGCCCCGGGTCGCCGAGGCCCCTCTCCTGGCAGGCCCGCAGCGCCAGGGGGCGGGCAGCCCAGCCCAGCCCGCGCCCCGCCCCGGCCCCGGGGCTCACGCACCCCTTGTTGCGAAGGACGCCAACTGCCACGATGACGAGGGCGAAGAAGCAGCTGGCGCTGATACCCACCAGCACCACGAGGAGGGCGATAAGGGCCTCGCGGCTGAGGCCCAGGCTGCAGTCGCAGTGGCCGCTGGCTGCGGGGACAGGCCCGAGCGGCCGTCAGCGGCCGCCGGCGGAGGACCCACGGGGGCCCCCCCAGCCCCGGCAGCCCCTGGCTCGTGGTGGCCCAGCCCACCCGGACAAGTGAGGGGCCCGTGCGAGGGCGGCTTGGGGCCCCGAGGAGGCACCTGCAGCAGGAACGATCCACAGGGACAAGCATATCAGACCCAGGGGGCTGCCAACCAGGCGGGAGCCAGGCTGGGGACAGGGGGCCATGTCCAGCCCCAGCCCCGCCGCACACGCCTCTGGGCGGAACTCGTCGGAAGGCGCTGACCTCACAGTAGGGCTGGGAGGCCGGGAGGCTGGGGGCAGGGCCTCGGCCCGAGGGTCACTTGTCCAGGCGCCAGGATCCGCGGAGCCCCCGGAGGGCGCAGGTGGGGCCGGTGGGGCCGTGGGAGCCAGTCCTCAGCGTCCTGGCCGGGCCTGAGGCGGGGGCACCGGTGGAGCCGCCCGCCATGGGGCCGGAGCCCCACAGGAGAGGGTCCCGCACTCGGGGCCGGCGGGCGTCCGCGGGGGCAGCGCCAGGCCTGTTTCCGAGGGAGGGCCGCAGCTGCTCAGGTGGGGCTTGGGCAGCGACCTGCGGGGCCGCCCTGCCCCCGGGGCTGGGACGAGCGGGGGGCCGAAGGGGGTCAGGGAGCGGGCCTGTGCCCGCTGCCCCCGCGCCGGCTCTTTGGAGGGGGACCCAGCCGGCACCCCAGAGACGCCCAAGGCTGCAGGCCCTCAGGGGCCCCGACCACCCAGGGTGCTGGGGGCCCTGCTCACAGGCCGCACGCCTCCCTGGGCCACCCTCCTCCAGGGGCGGGTGGGTCAGAAATGGCTGCAGGCGGCGACTGAGGCTCGGGCTGAAACTCTTCGTTAACGTCTCCGCCTCCGCCCCCTCAGGACCAGCGGCCTGCCCTCCGCGGCCTGGTCTCTGCGCAGCTTCAAGCAGACCAGGTGAGCGCGGCCTGGGCCCTGCCCGCAGCTGGCACGGCCGGGGTTAACCTCGGCCGCCGCCCTGCCCTCCTGCTCTGGCCCCTGGCCAACCACCGCTGCAGCAGGAGGAAGTGCCCTGCCCCACAGCTGAGTTGCGGAGCTGGGCCCTGGCCATTTGGGACCCCCCTGACCCGACACAGCTGTCCCCTGGGGGGACCCTCGGGGACCCACTGGCAGCTCTACGTCTGTGGAGCGATGTCGTGCCCCAAGACGCCCTGGGTCGCGCCACACTCCGAGTCCAATGGGGCGCGTGGAGCGGGCGCACCTGTGCCCGCCGCCGCCGCCCTGCCAGGCCAGTCCAGCAGGTTTGCGTCCTGGTGAGGATGACGAAGGCACGGCCAGGCAGGTGCCAAGTGGACCCTGGTGTCGGGAGACGCAGGGCCCGCCAGAGCTCAGAGAGCGGGGAGCCTGCCCTTCTGCTGTGACCGCAGCGCCGGTCACAGAGCGGCCCGGCCGGGGCTGGGGGGCAGAGGCAGGGGCTGCCAGCCTGTCCGGATCCTGCCACTGCCAGGGCTCTGGGCCCCGTTCCTCCCCGTCCCCCTTCAAGCCCCCTGTGGCAGGCAGAGTTCTCCAGGGTCGAAGGGGAAGCCCTAGAGCTGGGAACGTCGCTCAGGGCCTAGAGCTGGGAACGTCGCTCATGGGGAGCTGGCCATGTGCAGAGGTGGGGGTGGCCTGCGGGGACCCTCAGGGTGTCTGGGGACAGCAGGCACAGCTCCAGGCCTGGGATACCTGGGCAGTGGACACACACATTCCAAAGGGACTTTGTTGTCTGCAGGGACAGCCACCAGCTAGAGCAGTTCCTGCCTGATGAGTGAGGCCTGGGAGAGCCCTCGCTCTCGCCCACCTCAGGGACCGCCGGGTCCCCAGCTCTGGCCTGGGGCAGGGCCTTGGACATGGCAGGGGAGCCGCTGCGCCGGGGGAGGCTGGGCTCCGAGGGCCCGCTGTCCGGCGCTGAGCCCTGGGCCCGGTGCGTCCTGACCGCGCGCTAGGGTGCGGAGGTAAGTGGCTTTCCTGAGACCACGCTTCACTGCGGGCTGTGAGCGCCGCGGCCGCGCGGCTCCAGTGTGGGACCTGCGGACCAACGTCCAGTTCCCCCGTCGCAAGGGCACGTCCCCGGCAGCCCCTCCCGCCGGGGACGTAGGAAGCTCCTGGCCCGGCAGGGACGCTCAGCCACCTGCATGCCTCAGGCCGCTTGATGGAGCTCGCATGTCCCAGCAGCGGTCCTGGGGCTCTTGGCCCTGCACTGGGGCGCTGGACCCTCAGGCCAGGCAGAGGGAGGTGACCCAAAGGCTCCTTCCAAAGGCCAGAGGAGTGAGGCTGCTGCCGGAAGCCGGGCACACAGCTCAAGGGCCACCAGGTCACCATGTGCTCACTGCTGTCTGAGCTCTGGGTCTCCGGGATGCCCTGAAGGGTTCGAGCCCAAACACAGGTGTGCAGCCCTGGCCTCTCCTGCGGTCCCCTCCCTGCTCCCAGGAGGCAGCCTGGAGGGAGACTGGGTCACGCGTCACACGGGCCGCAAAGCCACCAAAACAGGAAAAAATGAGGAACCGCCTGCTTTATTCTGCACGCTGGGGACGGGGCCGCGTGTGGTGGGAGACACGAGGGTGGGGGACAGGGGGGCCGGGGGGAGGTCCAGGCACGGCGTGGGGGCGCAGGCCATCCGGCCGGTGGGACACAGGCGGGTGGGGAGGGCCTGATGGGCATCAGCTGCAGCTCTTGGGCAGGCGGTAGACGCCAGCCGCGTAGACCAGCTGCTGGTCGCGCACCTTCTTCTGCAGGAAGGCCTGCAGCTCCTGCAGGTCGATCTCAGCCAGCGCGGGGCCGGTGACCACGAACATGCGGAGCATGCTGTAGATGCGCTCCAGCGACAGGCTCTCCAGGTTGGTCAGCATGGCCTGGATGTACGTCCAGAAGAGCTGGGGGCACAGCGGCTGCGTCAGCCGGGCCCCCCAGCCGCGCCCGCGCCCGCGCCCCGGCCCGGCACCCCCGGCGCACCAGCAGCTCCTCCTCCTTCTGGTCGGCCTGGGAGGCCATGCCCGAGTCGCTCTCCTCGTCGCTGTCGAGGAGCACCATGTTGTCGCGGTCCTGGGGCCGCTCCTCCTCCACCACCGAGAAGGTGCCGGCCGGCTCCTCCCGCAGCACACCCTGCTGCAGCCACACCGACACCCGCCTCCGCAGCAGCGCCGCTGGCATCTTCACGGCCTTGCTCAGCGCCTCCAGGGTCCAGGTGGCTGTGCAGACGCAGCCGGGCACGCGGGGTGGCCTGAGCCAGGCTGCCCCTCTGCCCTGCCAGGCCCCCCAGGGAAGGGGCTGCCCAAGCCCTGCCCGCCCCTCCCGGTGCAGGCTGGGCCCGGGAGGCGTGGCCGGCTCACCTTGGTCCTGGAAGTACAACAAGACCACGGCCTGCACGGGGGTCACGGCCACAGACAGGGTGCGGTCCGCCAGCTCCACGTCCATGGTCACCAGGCCCAGCGTGTGCTTCCAGCTGAGGGTGCGCATGGCCTGCGGGGGGCCAGGGTGAGCAGGGGCAGCCGAGGGAGGCGGGCAGCCACAGGGCGAGGGAGGAGGCTGCAGCGCCCAGCCCCAACCACTGCCACCAACAGCAGGGACCCGCCGAGCCCGGCTGCGGGAAGCGGAACTGTGCCTCCTCGTCTTTGCCGCCAGGAAGGCAGGCGGCCTGACCGGGAAACGGGCGCTGCAGGCGTAATTCGGGCGCCTGCCCTGGAGCAGACGGGCCCCCGCGCAACATGACCCGTGTCCTCGTAAGAGAAAGAGCGCACGACACAGACACAGGAAAGAGCCACGTGAAGACAGGTGGAAACCAGAGTGTCCCGGCCGGAGGCCAAGGACCACAGGGCCAGCCGGCACCACCGGGAGCCGGGAGGAGCCGGATGCAGCCGGATGTCTCCCCCCTGCAGCCGCCAGGCAGCAGGCCCTGCAACCCCGGCCTCAGGCTCCGGCCTCCAGAGCCCAGAGGCCTCGGGGTGTTTTTGTCGTTTTGTGTTTTTTTTGATCCTCACCCGAGAACAGTTTTTTGCTGCTTTTAGAAGGAGGGAGGGGGAGAAACAACGTGAGCGAGACGCCTCGGCCGGCTGCCTCCGGCACCCGCGCCCCCCGGATCAGGCCCGCGGCCTGTCGGCTGTGGGGTGACGCTCCTCGCCACGCCCGCCGGGGCCGGCACCGCGGCCTGGAGCCACCTGGCCTGTGGCACTCAGTCACAACCACGACAGGAAGCAGGTTTTGGTCCTGGGACGGGGGTGCCGCCCTGACAGACACCTGAACAGTGGCAGTGGCGCAGAGCCGGGTGACGGGCCGAAGCTGGGGATTCTGAGCTGCGGGCCCATCAAGCCCGGGGGCCTCGAAGAGACGGGTGCGGGGAACACGGGCAGCGAAGGTGCAGAGGATGCTGCCGAGAAGCGTGGGCGACGCAGGGACACGCACGCACGCGGGCTCCGCAGAGGGAAGGCGGCAGGAGAGCAGACACGAGGGCCTGGGGGGCCGCCGGCGGCGAGGACTGGGCGTGCCGGGGGCGCCGGACGGTGCCCAGCCGCTCGGCCGGCCGGCACAGCCTGCGGGCGTGTCTGGAAGGGCCTCCCCGCTGGGACGCAGCCCCGCCGGGAGGCGGGACAGTACCTTCAGCTTCTCGTACTTCCGGCAGTAGGCCTCCAGGGCCTCCCTGATGTCCGCGGGCACCTCCAGCTTCTCCTCCTTGAAGGGCGGCCAGAACTCGCTGGACAGGATGACGGCGTAGACCCCGAACGGCGGCTGCTCCTCCGCAGGCCGCTTCTCGTCCTCCTCCCGGATGTTGGCGTTGATGCGGCGCGAGTCGGCCATGTCCTGGGGAGCCAGTGGGAAGCAGGGAGGGTCTCAGGGCGGGCTGGCCGGCTGGGGCGGGGCGGGCAGCGGGTGGGGCCTGGCACCCACCTTCAGCATGACCTCGCAGAAGTGCATGGGGGCCTCGCCGAACCGCAGCTTCAGCAGCTCCACATTGCGAATCTCCCTAGGAGGGCGCGTCTCAGAGCCGTGGCTTCGCCTGCCCCCCGGCGCCCATTGCCCCCCAGCGCAGGGTCCCCCGAGGCTCTCCCCCGGCAGCAGGGAGCACAGGGCACAGCCTGCCCGGGCTGAGGGGACCCCAGTCAGCACCAGCATGCACTGGGGCCCACAGCAGGTGGCCTGAGACAGCGTGGGGGCCACAGTGCCCGGCGCCTCACCGCTCGGGGCTGAAGCTGAACTGGTGCAGC